TGATCAGTGTTGTTACGTCCTTTCAAGAGAGAGAGCCTTCCTACTATTCCATCCTATTTTAAGTGTTGCGATGAGTCTCCGTGCCTAACTTTAATTGTCCATTTTATTTAAAAAAATTTTAAAAAAATTAAAAATTCATAAGTCACGTATAAATTATTATTCATGTTTTATCATCTAATAACAACAAAAATATTAATCATAAAAACCTATAAACTATTAAAATTAGACATGAAAACTCATAGTTACGCTTAAATTGTAACGGATGGAGGACGTGTACGTACGGGCACAACACGTAGTGCTTTTTTTCCGTAACAATGGGTTTGTGAAAAGTCTTCTCATAATACGGATCTAATACTTGAATTGGTACGGAGGAATTAAGGCACCGTCTTGTCTCGGCTGACCCAGCAACTCCGGCCGAGCGCCGGAGGGCCAGCCTCCGCCATGAACTGATGAACTCATGAACACGCACTTGTACTTCCCTACAATATTGAACTCGTTGGAAATTCTTCTCAAAATATATAGGATGATATCTCAATTGGAAAAGTATTTTCTATACCTGGTGTAGGAACATGTTAAATACCTCTTATTGAATTTGTTGGAAATTTCTCTCAAGATTATGCATAGGATGATGGGACAGTATTTTCTACACCTTAATGCTATGACACCTGAGTTATATAAAAATTTCATAAAATTTAATAAAATAGATTACAATAATCTAAGACACTATACAAACATGTAAATCCAAACTCAAACTACGTATAAAAAACAAATAAAGGGTGCCATGACCCTTATATTAGAAAAACCTTCTATGAGGCCGTCTCTGTGTCCGTTTGAGAGAAAACGCCGTGTCGCACATGAATGTGTTTTCATTGGACTTCCTTTCCCCCGAGTCCCTTCCCCGTGAAAATGGATCAATCTACGTAAGAGGAACGTTCGACGTCGCTAGGCCGCTCGTTCGGCATCGGACGGACGCAAGCAAGCACGGCACACCAACAGGCACCTTTCTCTCCGCCCACGCTAGCAATATCAGCCCATCAAACAAGGGAGGATTTACAGTGTAAGCATCGGTGTCGGACGACACCGACGACTTTCGATAAAACCTATGGTAAAACTGCTTATCTATATATCATAACACTATTAACACTATAGTCTAAGTGTAATTAGCATGCTATGACACCGATAGACACATTATGACACCAACAAATCAATTTTCTAGATCCGCCGCTACCATCAAACAGCCTCGCTCTCGGCCACTTCGCTCGCCAACGCATGGCCTTCGCCGACGGTGCGGCAGCGCATGCATGGCCGCCGAGTGCATGCTCCGGCGGTGGCGGCAGAAGGTCCTGCACACCTTCAAGTCTCTCGATCTCCTCCGTCCCGGCGGCCGGCGAGGGAGAACCCATAACGAACACACCAATGCGGCATAAACATATCATGAATATATTAAATTGGTAAAGAATCAAACCCTGGAAATATCATAACTGTTTATCACTGACTTTATGCCTGTGTCAAACTATGCTTCCTTTCAGGCAATCGTTGGACTGCGTGCAGGGTTGCAGCTGTTATTGGGGGTTGGTGCAATTTCCTAACTGTCATTTACATTGGTAAGAGGCTGCTACTTCAAAACTTCTTCCCAAAATCCCTCTCATTCAACCTCTGAACGTCAGAAATTTCATGTCTGTCACTATTTTCTGAATGTACGCAGTCCACTGTATTAGCGACAAATGTCACTGATATTTCATATTTGATTAACTGGAACAGGATTTGTTAGTGCTCACACACTGCCCGTCCTCTACGAGAAGTATATATGAAGATCAAGTTGATGATTTCCTCTGCAATATTCTTGGCCTGCTGCGTAACCAGTATCAGAAACTCGATCAAGTTGTGTTGAGCAAGAAAATTTTGCCAAATTAATTAGTTATATTAAATCTAATTTAATATCACAAACATACTTTGTGGTCACTATTATTATTGAGTTACAGTGGTATATGTTTGACTGTCTTGATGTGTGATCACTGATCAAGTTCTGTTGAAACCTTCAGCATATATTTATATTATTCTTCCATTATATCATCACTATCAGATTATCAGTGCCCCCTTTGTCAGTAGTGGCTATATAAACGTTGATAGTACTATTTTTTCCCACACATCAGCATATCTATTTTGTTGATTTTTAGCTTCAATAATCTTATGTGTGCTGCTTAGTAACAAATTGTGTTTACGGTTTGTTTGCATGTTAGTGGCCTGGCCGCAAATAGCCCAGTGGGCCAGCAGGACGTGGGTTGGCGGTTGCCACAATACACCTCGCGGATGCTGCGGGCAACCGCAACGCGTCCCACCTACGTACTCCACTAAATATTCGACACCATTAACTTTTTAAAAGTTTAACCATTCATCTTATTAAAAAAATAAAAATAATTATCAATTCTTTTTCTACCATTTGATTTATTGTTAAATATACTTTTATGTATACATATAGTTTTACATATTTCATAAAAGTTTTTAAATAAGACAAATAGTTAAATATATTTTAAAAAAAATCAACGGCGTCAGACATGTAGAGATGGAGGGAGTATATCCTTACCAATACCGCCCACGGGCCACCATCTATCGTCTACCGGCACACCACACGAAGGCCCCTACCCCACTTCGCTCAGCACGCGGGAACAAGTCAAGACGGCGATGCCGCGCCGGACGGACGTACGCCGACGGTGACGCGACGACCACCACCACGGCGTACGGCCTCGATCGGTGGCCCGCGTGGGGCATGTACAGGTCGGCTTTCCAGGGGTTAAATGTGGCCGTGCCGGACGATCGATATATATCCTGGCCTCCTTTAAGACGAGTCGACGTCAATGAGCTCGATCGATTATGTCGCTGTCTCCACCACTGACCGGCTAGCTGCTCACCGACCTGCTCACTTAATTAGGTCCCTGTTTCAGATCAAATCTGATCAGACTTTATGCCAATGTGATGGGAAAGGGCTGTTGATTTTGATGCCAATTTCAACCATAATATTTTTTTTTAGGCAAAGTTGCTAAAATTTTAGTAACGTTTAGTTTGTTGCCAAATTTGGTAAATACATAAAAAAATCCTGTTAAAATTTTGGCATATTACCATTGCCAATTTTGGCAATGCCAAAATTTGGTAATGTTTATTTTGGCTACAATCTGAACAGGCCCAAAGTATGCCTAAATTATCTATGTATATGTGTATATGGTTGATCTTTTAAAGATATTTTTTGATCTTTTAAATTATCTATATGTGTGTATTTTGGAAAGTTGTCCTTTTGTTTTTCTTTTCTTTTTTTTTTTTTTTTTGGTTTTGCATCTAGAAGTAAAGGACAACACTCGTTGCTTGCAAAATGCAGGGAGCGAGGGAGCCTGCAGGGAGAGTGGGAGGCACGGCTGCATGTGGCAGTGTCACTGCTGCCGCAGTTGTATACTCTGGATGCTGCCCCAATATACTAAAAGTATTTCACTATATATGTTTTTAATTTATAATTAGAAATCGCAAATATTGACAGCATATTCTTCCCACAGCATGCAACTGGATCATTAGGAAGTAGGAACACATAATTAAATAAGGACTGCTTTAATTAGTAGGTTAATAAATGGAGTATTTATTACTGGACTAGAAAATTCCTATGCATCGCAACGAGTGGAAACAATTTTAGTTATACATATCTGCTCCGTACATGCGTGATTTTTTTAAAAAAAATAACATTTTTGCAATTATATATATAATTAAATTCATCAACTCTCACAACTAATTCATCAACTCTCACAACTAATTATATATGGATAAGGAGCCGGGCTCTACTGACGGTATTGTACCGCGATGTCCTCCCAGAGTACGGCATTGAATTCAAGCGCTAGGAGATACTCCCTCTGTCCCATAATATAAGAGTTTTTGCTTGCAACGTTTGACCACTCGTCTTATTTAAAAAAAAATTGAAATTATTATTTATTTTATTTGTGACTTACTTATTATCTATAGTACTTTAATCACAACTTTTCATTTTTCTATATTTGCAAAAAAAATTTAATAAAACGAGTGGTTAAATATTACAAGCAAAATCTCAAAATCCCTTATATTGTGGGACGGAGGAGTAATAGACATGGCTCTGCTGATGCGTCAGGCATCTACCCCAACAAGATCTTCACGTCCTCGCCCCACAGCAGCGACATCGACATGGTTAGGCCATTAGCAGGACAAGCTACGCAAATTGAATGGCCATGTGAAAAGGGGGCTTCCACGTTGCATGGAACTGCTTAAAGAAACTCATTCTACAATGCATGTATCCTAACAGTACTAACACGAAATTTTCTATTTCACCCCTTATGTTTTTATTCTGTTTTTATTCTAGTCCGCCCAAATCTAATAAATCCAGAATTTATTAGATTTGCGTCTCCCACGGCGACGAGCTCAGTGTCACCATCGGTGCAAAGCCGCTGACAGATGCCTTGACCACCGGATCTAGCCTGGTGCGAGGCGACAAGGCCGGAGATGGAGCTCGGCGGCGTAGATCCGGTCAGCTCCTCCGGTCCATGGCGGGACGCGATCTCCTCTCTCTCTCTCTCTCTCTCTCTCTCTCTCTCTCTCTCTCTCTCTCTCTCTCTCTCTCTCTCTCTCTCTCTCTCTCTCCATTTGGTTGCGAGGGACTCGACATATGCATACATGGAAGGGAATCTCCTTGGTGGCAGGTTGGGGCTGGATGCCACCTAAGAGCATTGTGAAAGGTCTTAGATAGTGGCTTCAGGACATCGAGATTTCCTCTAGCCGATGTTTACACCTATGCAAGTTAGCACATTTTTGCGATTCGCTAAGTACTCTTTCTATTCCAAAATATTACAACCTAGAAATTTATCTGTGTATTACAAATCTGGACAGAGGTCCTATCCATTCTAGAAGGATATGGATTTTCATCCATCGAGAGAAATCCCCTCGTTACTTATAGGTCATCTAATATAAAAAAATTTTAAAAAAAGTTGACAATATAGATTAATATGAAATATATTACTCCACAAACATACAAGCTCAAATTAGACTTCTACAAGTTACAACAAAAGGAACAAATTAAACTGAAAATAGTTATCGTACGCTCGTAGTTATATTTGTTTTTTTTTTAGAACCTGTAGAAGTTGATAACTAGTTGATAACTTGCATGTTTGAGTGATACATTTTATATTAATCTATCTCATCATTCCTTTTTTTAAAAAAAATGACTATTTAGGTGACATAGATAAAACGAGAGGATATCCTTTTTGATTGATGAAAATGTCTCCTTCTTGTGGCTTACGTATCATCTTATAAAAAAATTATCTAAAGCCTCGATCTCTACCGGATCCTCTCTCTTCACCTCGCCGCCGGCCTCCGGTGGCGCCGCCACCTCCTCTTCGTCGTTCTTGGTGTCGTCGGGGCGGGTGGACAGCCGCGCCTCGAGCTCCCGGTTCTTCTCCTCCAGCTCCGACAGCTTTGACTCGAGAGACTTCACGTACTCCCTTGCTCTGATCAGTATCGACGTCTTGTCTTTCTGCCATTAAAAACGATCGAGAAATAATTTAAGCAAATATTAGTCAAGATCAATACTAATCAATAGAAGAAAATGTTCATGAATATGCACGTGTATACGTTCGTAATACGTACAAATGTACGTATTAATAATTGTACCTTGGAGCCGGGAGGGAGGACGGCCTTGAGGGCGACGAAGCTGTCGTTGAGCTTCTCCCGCCGCTTCCGCTCCGACATCGTGTGCTGCAGCTGGTTGTTGCCGGACGGCGGCGGCGGCGCCGCCTCGGCCGCCGCCGCCGCTTGCTGGTAGTAGTACTGGCGGCGCCTGTACGTCGTCTCCATGTGCATCTTGGCCAGCGCTGACATGGCCGTCTTGAACATCCTCTGCCCGCACGCCCCCGGCTTGGGCGCCCTCCTCGGGCCGAGGTGCCGCGCGTACCGCCTGAACGCGCCACCGGTCACCGGCGGCGGCGGTGGCGGCGGCAGGCCGGCGGTGTAACGGCCGGGCTGGGGCTCGTTGCGCACCAAGGGTGGTGGTGGTAATAATGGCGCCACCTGCGAGGACAACTCCGGGTAGAATCCCGTCGCCGCCGCCGCTGCCGCCGACGACGAGGTGTCCGGGCTGTACGACACGGAGGCGGAGCGGAAGGAGGCCGAGGAGGATGACGAGGAAGGGAAGCTGCCGGCGGCGGCGGCGACGGCGTGGTGCGTCGACGGCGAAGGCGTCAGGAGGTCGTCCACCATGGCGACGCCGTACACCGCGGACTGATCATCGTCATCATCCATGCTCAGGTGCATGCTGATCTGCACGTCATAATTAATTAATCCAACGCCTACCAAATTAATCCTACAATTTCTTTGATTTTATACGCATTGTTCTTGATCGATCGGACGCTCGAGGCCTCGAGCTAGCTAGTGAATCAATGTACAATTAAACTGCAGCAATTAAGCTTGCCTCATTGAGACGGTGCTGAATCTGCGAGCTGATGAACTGCTGCTCCCTTTGCTCGAACTCCCAAGAACCGCAGCTATAACCATATACGTAACTGATCACCAGCCAAACAACGCAAGAACAGTGGAATTTACAAATTACAGAGACGATATTATCGTCGCGATCAATCGATCGAATTCCTGATCCGAGAGATGGAGTAGCTACCTGCTGGCAGCATAGCCACAGGTGAAGCCGTGGTTGCCGGCGCCGGTGGCGGTGGCGCCATTGGTGTAGCCATGGACGATCCAGCCGCCGCTGTCCATGATATGATCAGATAACCACCACTTCTGTTGCTTTGCTACAGCTCGATCGATGATCTAGCTATGTGTTTGATCGGCACAATATCGATATGATACAGTTGATGCTGAACATGCAGACATATATAGTTATATACTAGCAGTATCTAATTAATAAAGTATAAGATGAGGAAGCTACGAAGAGCACAACTCCGAATGTGTGTCCGAATACAAAAATATAGCCATTGAAGGCAGCCGTAGCATGGAGCAACTGATCAACTGAACCAGTAGCAATTAATCCACGTGGGAGATATATAAACACATTGTCTTGTAGTAGCAAATATATATTACTACCACATATATAGTATATATGTAACGTACATTTAGTATCTGGAATCAGTGATTGATTAAGAGATTCATGTGGAAAAAGAGAACTAAAGGCGCCTGATGACTATCATAAGCCATTAGTAGATTAATTAGTGGCAAACTAATTGCCTGAGTCTGGAGTATCATACTCCACGGTCAATGACGGAATCTAACTAAGATATATCAATGGAGGATGGATAGATGATAGATCAGTCCACGGTCAATTTGGTTGGCTAGCTAGCTGGATCGATATCCATGAGAGAATGTGGGAAAAAGAAGCAACTGCTAGCGGCCGGAGCCGGGAAGCTTTAATTTATTCAGAGATCGATCGACAAGAGAACAATCCTACGAAATTTTAGGTGTTATCTCAATTCTACGATCCCTACGATACTACAAAATATTATTTAAAATAAGCTGGTTTCAAAATATTATAAATAAATATGCTCAAGTTTATATAAAAATCAGTTAAATATATCAAAACCAACGTGATTCCTGTTGATAAATGTCCCTATTTGCATGACATATATTATTACTATATTTTTATATAGAATGGCCATATGTAAATAATATAAATATTAATTAAACTTTAAAAAAAAATTTCATAGTATCCCGGTACTACGATACGATCATACGATACGATATTACTTTGAGCAAAACGATACTGTCTAGGATCCCGATCCTGACAACCTTGATAGAAATAGGCGGTTTGTATGAGCGGATTGTACATCGGTGTATGAAAATCCATTTTTACGGGCCACCTCTAAAAATAAATTTTATCTTTTCAAAAAATAATTGTTAATTTGCAAAAGCCTGATAAAATATTTTGTATTTTACTAGAGGCTCTATATACACTATGTGCATGTGAATAGAACATTTCACATTTTAGTGGGTGCAAAAATATTTTCATAAGTTACATGATTTTCCATACGAGATATGTACAAAGTTTATCGACTACAAAGCTATAGGTCTTGTCGAACTCTAAAATTTTTATATAGAACTTGTATTAATCTAAGGTCTCAAATATTTGTATTTCAAAATAGACGTAGGACCTTGTAACGAATATACAGAACACTAATCGATCTCAAATAAAAAAAATAACTACAAAGCTGGAGATCTCGTCAAGAGCTATACTTTCATATAAATATGTCTTCATCTGACTTCATATACGAAGTTTGAAACTTTTTTCTTAAAATATGTTGTTTGTTTCAATTTTTAGAGTCTGTTCTTTAAGAACCACCTATGAAAAACATTTTTTCATTATTCTTTGAAATAACTAAAGTTAATAAAAATATTTTTAAGTTCAATTGAGATGAATCGATCTCTATGATCATTACAATGTTTTCTTTGTTATGGCCAGGTCCATATTTCTATAGATTATTTGGAAAAGGATTGATCACTTACGTCATGTTTCCTCCAATATGAGTTGGCATGTTATCTATTTCGACATTAGTAAATGACTATATCTCTACTATTATAAAAATTGAAGTTGTTTTTGCCGGTAGCTTGTTACGTCATCTGTGTATGAGTCGGTTTTTAACTTCGTTTGCTTTTAGAAATACATATCCGTATTTGAGTCAGTTTTTAGGTTCGTTCGCTTTTGAAAATACAAAAGGAGTCATATAAGAAATGTCTTTAAAAAACTCGCATATTAACTTGAGATGATCGGACTTCTAATTGCAGCTTATGATTTTCTAAAAATATATATATATATTCAAGCAAATTCACATAGTAAACTTCACCTTAATTAAACCGTATAACAATGATAAGATTAAAATAACCTCACCCATTGCAACGTTGCAACGCACAGGCATTTTTTCTAGTTATAGTAAATATTTTAAGAAAATATTGCCCAAACAATGTAAGGAAAATACTGAAAGAATCTCGGAGAACTTTGGTTCACCTTAATTAGACTTAAAATAACTTTTCAAAGTATGGACTTATTTTCTTAGTGCTTCAATAAACTTTTTTTTCATATAGCAAAATTCAGTGCGACAACGTTTAACCTCTCATCAGCAATTCTATTTGTGAAATCTCCATAAAAGTGTCAAGACTGTACTCCTAAAAATATTTAATTTTGGTAAAGACCACACTGACATCTCACAATTTATGAAAACATGTCGATTCGGTTAAGCACGTGCGAACTTGAGTGGTTTTTCAGGAAAACTAAGTAGGTAGGGGCGCATTTGTAATAAAATGACTTGTGGGTGAAATACTGAACTTCATGCGACTTATGGGGTGGATTTTACAAAATTCCCAAAAATTTATCTACATTGGACTTGGTTACAATTTGTTAACGACAGTTTCTTATGAGAACCACCCTTAAAAATTTGATTTATACTTAAATCTTGCCTAAAAATTGTGTAAAAATATTTTCCTAAGAAATTGGCTATAAAAATGATATTTGCAGGCGGTTTTTTTTTAGGAAAACCACTCGTGGAAATAGACTAATTTCTACATACAGTTTCCTTAATGAACCGACCGTAAAAATATGTGTTTTCACGGGTGTTCTATAACCCAGAGACAATCTCAATTATTTCGTACTCCCTCCGTCTAAAAATAAACCAAGACAAAACCTGGTACAGTGAATCTGAATAAGCCCGATCTAGATGCTTTATTTTGAGAACATAGGAGTAAACGGCTTTAAAAAAAAAGATAGTTGTCTAGGGCATCCATAATGTGGCTGGTGAAATAGTGGGAAATAAGCATTGAATGCATCCCTATTACTAGGTAATATACATTGTGGAGGTGGTAACAACTACTATCAGGGTATAAGTTTACTACTAGGTATTAGCACTTCATATAGATCTCGTCTTTTTTTTAATTGTGGCATTACACATGTTTGAAAAAAAAATTTAGATGGGTCATATCTTACTACCCACTCTACGTATATATATTATAATACATCTTCAACCTATTTATTATCATCTGACACAGATCCATCTTATTACCTAGTTTTACAATAATAAATATTGACAATGTCAAAAAAACATAGCATAAGTGAAAACTGTTTTTTTAAGTAGTGTGTAGGCCACAGGCTGCTGGGCTAGGCCGTGGCTGCCAGGAAGACGGGGGTGTCGACGTCCCTTCGACACCGCCGCCGAATGGGAGAAAAGTCCCCGTCAAAATTAACACTCCGCTCGCGTACGTGAATGCGCCGCCGGTAGCCGTCGCCGACATGCCTGCACTGCATGCGCAGCACATCGATAGCAACAGTACCTACCCTAACTACCCCGGTGGTCAATACTACCATTTCAATAGCTAATCATAATCGCACGTTTCGCAAATCGAGGCAAAGCATTTTAAATTCGGAGTAATTCCGATCCATCGGTTTGGTTTGACGCATTTGTGGAGGAGCAAGAAAGAGTGTAATACTTCGTAATAGGATAGGGTTAGTATGGTCCAATATATATGTGCAGCCTGCTATCCATGTTGATTAATAATTGATGTACTGACGTATACTCCATATATCTATACTACTGAAGAAAAAAAAACAAAGTGAGACAGTGAATCTCCTACCACCTTCCATATCAATGGCATGTGGGTTCTTATCTAGTATTCCCTCCATACTCATAAAGGAAGTCGTTTAGGACAATGTTTAAGTCAAACCTTGAGAATATAAATCATGAAAAACTCTCAAGTTATTGAGTTTGAAAATGTAAAAATTATATGAATAGATTTGTCTTGAAAAATACTTTCATAAAAGTATACATATATCACTTTTCAATAAATATTTTTAGGGGCAATTGCTTATTTGACCTCGTTTTGAATTGTAATTACCGATTTGACCCTACTTTTTGAACTTTGCTTATTTGACCCTCATTTTCGAGTACGAAGCTCTGGTCTGACCCTATTCCGTTTGTGTGAGGTGACGGTGTTAATTTTGGGGTAAATAGTCCATTTTGCCCTTGCTTATTTGGCCCTGTTATATCTTGTTTGTTTGCTTGTTTGACCTAAAGTTTGGATAATATAAAAAAAAATCTCTTTCCCCGGCGGCGGCGGCGGCGGCGCACCCGCAGAGGAAGACGGAGGCCGGCGCGCGCTGGGGGGAGAGAGCGGCGCCCTGTGCTCTTCGCCACAGCGGCGTCGTCGTCGTTGCCGACTGGTGGCGGCGCGCGCAGTAGAAGATTGAGGCCGACGCGCGCGGGGAGGGAGGGAGCGGCTCCCTGTGATCTTCGCCGTGGCGTCGTCGTCGTCGTTGTTGCTGACCCGGCGGCGGTGCGCGCGCGGAGGAAGACAGAAGCCAGCACGCAGATGGAGGGAGGAAGGCGCTGGAGCTCGCCGGCGTGCGGAGGGCGGGCGGCGGCATCACGCGCGCGGAGAAAGGAGGAGGCTGGCGCGCGTGGAGTGGTGACGGCGCGGCGCCGAAGCTCACCAGCTCGTGGGAGAGAGGCGCCGCCGCCGCCGGATCTGCGGCTCGTACACTCAGCAGCCGCCGGATCCACCGCTTGCACACCGCCACGGCCTGAGCTCCACCACCGTTGCTCCTCTTCCTCGTCATCGAGCTCACCGTCGCCGCCACGACAGCTCGGCGCCACCGCCCCCACAGCTCGGCGTCGCCGCCCCCACAGATCGGCGCCGCCCCGCGCCCCATCAGACCGCCGCTGCCGCCGCCGCCCTCCACCTCCACAGCGGGCGCCGGCGGGGCTGTACATCACGCCGCTGCCGCCGCCTCCTCAGCTCGCCGTTGCCGCCCCCACAGATCGTTGCCGCCGCCCCCTCAGATCGGCGCCGACTCGGACCCCCTCCAAGCGCCGCCGCCGCCGCCCTCCACCACAACGAGTGGGCGCCGGCGGGGCAGTGCTTGACGCCGCCGCCGCCGCCCCCTCAGCTCGCCGCCACCGCCGCCCCCTTAGCTAGCCGCCGCCGCTGCACGCACGAGTGAGAGAGAGGTGAGACCGTGAGAGTCACGCACGATTGAGAGAGAGAGAGAGTCAAAATAGGGTTTGGAGGGTATTTTCGTCATTAGGAACTCTTGAAACATTTTCTTTTTAAAAAAAATCGAACCCTAACGGAGTTATCAAAAGAGGGTCAGACGGAAGCTTCGTACTTAAAAAAAGAGGGTCAAATAAGCAAAGTTCAAAAAGTAGGGCCAAATCGGCAATTACAGTTCAAAACAGGGTCAAATAAGCAATTGTCCCATATTTTTATAGAAATAAGAAGTCAAAGTTATGTTTTGAAGATCATGTCGCTGTCCTAAACGACTTCCTTTACGAGTACGGAGGGAGAAATAAGAAGTCAAAGTTATGTTTTGAAGACCATGTCGCTGTCCTAAACGACTTCCTTTACGAGTACAGAGGGAGTTCACCTTAAAGTACATGAAGAGAGTTGCAGGAGCAATTATTTTTCAACTAGACAGAGAAGTGGGTGCCCGCATCCATTTTGAACTGTATGGTTTAATTTTAGAATAATGTAAGGGTTTTGTTTGCAAATTTTAACTTTTCCAATCTCCTTTCATGCTTATTAAGAAAAGTGGAAAAAAAAATCTACATACAACTATTCTTAAAAAAATCAAAGTTCAAAACTATTATATTTCGTCTAATGTACAATGATGCATCATATTAATTTTCCCCAAGTCTAATATATTCATTTAAATCTTTTACGGCGTTTCAAGGCGTTTGAAAGTTTTGCATACATTTCCATTTTTTTCAAAAAAAAATGTCCTGTTTAGTACCCTTAGCAGCGTGCCGCATCGAACTATTTTTCCATTCCTTCAAGAGGAACATGCCCGGAGGGTGTTATCAACACACTCACAACCGTCGTATCGCTAGGGATGCAAGTGGATAATCTCACTACCCGTATAAAAACCTACTTGCTAGTTCATTTTCTATATGGTAGTACAAAATTTCAAAGAAAAAATAAACTAAAAGTGAGATAAGCGGACAAAAAAAATCCGCTTGCCCGCCCCGCTTGTATCCCTACGTATCGCCAAGGTTGTCAGGATCGGGATACTAGGTAGTATTATTTTGTTCAAAGTAATATCATATCGTAGGGTCGTATCGTAGTATCGGGATACTAAGAGATTTTCTTTTTTTAACTTTAATTAATATTTATATTAATTATATATAGCCATTTTGTATAAAAAAATATAGTAATGATATATATCATGCAAATAGAGACATTTATCAAGAGAAACCACGTTGGTTTTGATATATTTAACTGATTTTTATATAAATTTGAGCATATTTAGTTACATTATTTTCAAACCATGTTATTTAAAATAATATTTTATAGTATCGTAGGGATCGTAGAATCGGGATACCACCTAAAATTTCGTAGGATCGTGTAGTAATGAATAGTAGGATCGAGATACTATGAAAATTAAGATATTATGTGGAATCGGTATCGTTTCGGCTTGGTAGGATTGTAGTATCGTAAGATACTAGGATACGAATCGGGATACTGACAACCTTGCGTATCGCCCGGCTGACCAAGCAAACTCTATGAATCATCACTGTCTTGTATTTGGTTTGATGAACCTCCTATCCTTTCTTTTTTCTTTCTGGGTATAATCTATGGGATGATGCAATTATTGTGTGATATTAATAAAGCTTGCAAAAGGAAAAAAAACTTGTACTCATATGAGCATGTTGTAAAATATTTTGTCTGTATCGAACGCAAGTTGGAAAAATCGATCTCTCCTGCCAATCTGATATCTGTATTTGTACAGTTAGTAGCAGCATTATATTATTGACTTTATATGGATGAATAATATATTCATATATAGTTCACTGCCTTGCTTAACGCAATTGTGTTATGAAAAATATGAATTTTTTTCTCCTATCTTCGGTTGAAACAATGAACAAATACTCTTTACCAATAGCAACAACAGGAATATTATTTTTTTATGTACCGAAGAAAAAAACCAAGCACGTCATAGGTCGACGTGTATATGTTCGTCTTTCATATCTCTGCTCTATAAAATCGTGTATATAGGCTCGATTATACTCCTAATACATTTGAAATCAAGACAGGCATAACTCATCCCCAATTATATATAACTGTATACGGAAATGCCCTGCGTCGGGCGCCCGATGGGCACCGTGCCTCCGGCGCCTCCGTGCCGTCCCCACCACACACACCGTTATAACAAATCACCCACATAATACAAAAATGTTCTATTAAGGGAATACCTTTCATTTTTTTTCCACCAACAATATTTTAGCAAGTATACTCGTGTGTGTTTCACTATGTATAAATCAAATGTTACATTGAATTGTAATATCCTTTCGCTATTTTGCTGAAACATTGTTTTTATATATGGTGAAACAACTTCAAAAACCATTGTTCTATACATTATAGCAAAATGTTTTATGAGGTGATTTGGTTGTGTTTCAACTTTTTAAACGATTGAAACATTTTCGATCCACCTAATGAAACAATTCCGATCTATTTGGTGGAACATCAGATTTTTGCAAAAAAATAAAAATAAAAAATAATCGGACGTGTAGGTGGCCCCAACTATATAAGCACATTTGCAATACAAGAACGTGAAAAAAGAACAAAAGCAATCAACCTCCCAAAAGGCCCAAATAGAGGCCTGGCCCATCAACCCACGAAGGCCCAGCTATCTTCTTTTCCTTTTTTTTTTTCCTTTCCAGTTCCACTTCAGAAAAAGGGGAAAAAAATCGCATCCGATCCGAATCCGGCGAGCCGAATCAAATCCTCCCCTCGAGCACCAGCGGAGCGGAGGAGCGAATTCGCCGGAGACGAGACCCCTCGCCGTCGTCGATTCCCCAGGCGAGCCCGTGCATTCGTTCCTCCGCGGCGAGCAGAAGCGGTGCGCCTGCCTGCGATGGCGGCGGAGAAGCCGGCTCCGGTGAGGGTGCTGTACTGCGGCGTCTGCGGCCTCCCCGCGGAGTACTGCGAGTTCGGCCCGGACTTCGAGCGCTGCAAGCCGTGGCTCCGCGCCAACGCCCCGGGCGTCTACCCCGACGAGCTCCTCGCCTCCTCCTCCTCCGCCGCCGCCGACGTCGACAAGGTCGGGGAGCGGCTTCAGGGCGTCGGGATCTCCGCCGCCGATGGCTCCACCAGTGCAGGTTTTTTTTTCTTCTTCCCCCCCGCTACTTCTTTCGTGATGATTCTCTCTGTTGTATCAGTAGGATGTCAGACTCCGATCTGGGATGGGATGGTGCACGAGAGAGAGAGAGAGAGAGAGAGAGAATTGAATCTAATCTTTGTGCTACAACTGTGCAGGGGATGCTTCTGCGTCGAAGCAGGAAGAGGTGAAGCGCTTGCCTGGTGGTAAGGTCAAGAAGAAGGTTGGTTCCTGCAGCACACTCACTTGGTTATCCTACAACTCAGTTATTACTGTCGTTTGCATATGATGTCTAAGCCATAATAGTTAGTTTAGTGTGTGGTATGGTGATTATTCGCGTACTGAGATACTCAAAATGTTAAATGTGCTACTACAGTAATGGTTAGTTCAGTGTGCTGGAAGAAATATATTTTTTGCTGGAAGTTTAGTGCGTGGTATGGTCATTTTAATACACATGAGCTATTGTATTGGTGCCTTCTGGTTTGAGTCCAAGCGAGTCAAAGTCCACGTGTATGAAATTTTGGTTGATAATAACATCGTTTATGATGAGTTACCCTTTTGTCTTACAGGATAAACAAGAGGTTGTGATTGAGAAGATTGTCCGCAACAAGCGCAAATGTGTTACTGTGGTGAAGGGTCTGGAATTATTTGGTAAGTGTTGTTTTCATAAACAATTAAATGACTGTTTACAAACTGAAAGCTAAAACCGGTAAGGTGACCAAAATGAACATGACTGTATTGTTAACACTATAGAAGAAGATGTATTTTCAATATTGAATCCCCGTTCATACTGAAGCTATGGTATATTTTTATGAATTATACTTTGTTTCCTGGACAATTAGGTGTCAAGCTGAGTGATGCTTCAAAGAAGCTGGGGAAGAAGTTTGCTACAGGAGCATCTGTTGTTAAGGTATACCAGTAATCAGGGCTCATATAGTACAATGGCCTTTGATATCAATGTAAGCATTTTTTTAACACCTGTTCTTTATTGCCTTTCTTAGGGCCCCACTGAGAAGGAGCAAATTGATGTGCAAGGGGATATATCGTATGATATCGTGGAGTTCATTACAGATACTTGGCCTGATGTAATTCATCCATCTTCTCTTCAATTTATTGTGGTTTAAAGTTTTCTCTCTTTTTATTTACTCGCATGTTTGGTATCATTTGTGATATTCTGTCCAGGTGTGAATTCATTTAGTTTCATAACAATAGATAGAAACCTATTCAATTGGATTATAACATTTAGTTTCACATTTAAAAATAAAAAAATCGAGTAATAATATACTTCTCTAGTCCGTCTGTATGTGATGTTCCTTGAATGTATATAGGAGTAGAGAACCATGGTAACATTTGGTGACTACATATTCAGTGAAAAGTTATATCCTGTGGAGGTTTTGGTTTGTACATGGAGTTCCTAACTCCCATTCATTAACTAACTGGGAAGGTCTAAAGTTGAGTCCCAAGGCCCAAGGGCAAGGAGGAAGTCCTATGGACCAACAGAGCCTGATATACCTCTCTATAACACAAATTTGGAAAATTGTGACCTGGGAGTGTTGTTATCACCACCATTTGAATGCCTCAGCTGTTAAAATCGTAGTATCTTCATCAAAGATGTATCTATGCTATTTATTGAATTATTGTCATTCATTCATACCTTTCAGGTACCTGAGTCAGCCATTTTTTTCATTGAAGATGGAAGGAAGGTTCCTGCTGCTTGATGTTTTATGGCCACAAGGCAGAATACCAATGGAGTTACAAATATAGTAGAAATATAAGACAAGAGTATGCCTGCAGCTAAGGCATGGGCCTTGCATGAGCTCATCAATGCTACTACTCCTTCAAAGACAAAAAACTGTTTTCTTTCATTTCTGGTCTTAAGTTCATCACAACTGGTGTTTTATCGAGGACTGGTCCCATGTGTATCAACTTTATCCTGCAAGTTAGTTTGGTATTGCTAAGCCATTGGAAGTGGCAAATGTTTTGTGCGAGCATCAGGCTTCATATTTAACGACATGCAAAGAAGAGTGCAAATTAGTAGTGTCTCTGCCCTTTCTGCTTTCACAGAGAGGTTGTTTCACACTGCAAGTTTGGATTTGAATTTGATCTTTCGTTGAGTTCTCGTTCATCAGGGCTACTGACTGCGGTTTGTAATTGGGGTTGTAATTGTAGAATTCAGGATGATCATAATAGGGTGTTTTTGTTTGCAAGAACTACATATCATACGGGCTGTAGAATAGGCAGAGACGAGTCTGATGGGCTTCTATTAGGCTGTATTGGGTCGGCTTCTATTTTACTTTTCCAGCTAACCAAGCCCAAATTACGTCTATTTAGAACAGAAATTCGGCAGGCAATTTTAACAGCGATTTTTATTTCAAAGTGCATTCCTAGAGGAGCTTCGCAATTGTGATCTACCTCAAGTCATAAAGAAATAAAATAAAAATAAAACATGTTAAAAATGGTGAAGATAAATAAAATGTGGTTTTAAAAAAAATTATCTTCACCGTTATAAGTATTTTTTCTAAAACAACCCACAGAAGATAGTGGCTATAACCAGGAAAATAAAAAAATAGCGACAGCTCGCATCTACAACCGAGACCCACTATTGAGAAGCAAAGTAGGAGCACAAACACCCCTAAGGGAATGGCAACTTCAAATGACGTCTCCAGGGAGAATACAACGTCGAGAGCGCCACCGCCGCCCATCCTAAGAGGACGTGGTTTTCGCAATAAATCTATTTAGGAGAGGGAATATTCCGCGACAACGCCCCCATGCAGCGCCCGCAAGCGTCGCCGTTATCGGCCCAAACAGGCTAGAATTTCGCCCGTAATCTTTGTACCCTCCCATGCCGAAGTGCACCTCCTAGCCTCAGCAGCTACTGCCAACTAAACACCTTCAACACGCAGCCACTGCGCCGGCGCCTTGTCGACGGTTGGCCAACAAGTAGGAGCATGACATCTGGCGCACTCAACCTCCATCCACGTAGTTGGATTGGATGGAGAGAGAGAGATGTTTAACAAAAAAGAAAAATCAAATGCTCCTTTTCGTGTACGTTGTAGAGTAAAACTGTGTGCAAATTATATTTCAGCATGCACACGACCAATTGAGATTTCAAAACATAAGTGAGATCAAGATTTTATCTCTCTGCCATCTCCTATACTCCATATCCCAACCACTGCTGCTGTTGGCTGCCTAGCTGTAAGCCGTTGCAAGTACCCAATCAAGCTTCCATTTTGCTTGGTCAGTATTTAATGGCCACGCCATGGGATCAATATGTTTTATGATATGACTAGGCAAATTAAGAGGCTTGTTAGTCACAAATATCCATTGCTGGAACACAAAGTTTTGGTTTACAAGTAAAGTGTAGGAATCGACAAGGCCGTGTTTGGTGCAGTTCGAGTAGTCCATCGTTTTCACAGCGATTTCTTGTTTATGGAGAAAAGGAGGGAATATAAATGGTTGGGGCCGTGTTTGGTTGGTCTCAGGTAAATAGCAGATAGCCAGCTACACTCACGCACTCTAACAAATAAAAAATAAATAAATAAAAATCGTTGTAGAATCAAAACTGGTAGAAAATGAGTGGCAATGTGACGTGTAATTTAATTTCAGCCGAGAGTCTGAGCACCTGTTTGTAAGCAGCACGTTAATTATTGACTACATGGTTGAGTAGCGTAAAATTAGCAGAAAAAACATGCACAAGATATGTCCACAAAGCTTAGTTTAATTAATCTTTTAATTTCACGATCGATCAGTTGATGAATATTACATTTCTTTTAGTTACTTTTACGATGGTCTTTACTAATTCAATTGTCAGCATCATCACGTAGAGACGATTTTAACTGCTAATTTATAAGTTCTGTACTACCAATAAAAGTAACCGTTCTACCAGCATAACGTATTCATCAAATTGACAGTACAAACAGATATAATTCATTAGATCAAAAAAAAACATAAACGACCTATATTAATCATACCACATTTATACATCATCATTATGAAACATCCCTACATCTCGCGGTCGACGAATCAGCGGCAAGTAGAAGAATTCAGAAAGCAAACGGCCCCCACGGGAACGAACGAAGGAACGGATGGATGAACAACTATGCTTGGCTAGCTTTCTGTAATACGTACGACGTCAGCGTCATCAGCAGCCAAGCCAGCTCAGCCAGCTACAGGGGAATGCGTTGTGGTTTTCAGGCGCAGGAAATTGCTGGAGCAACAGCCACAAGTACGCAGTGTACTCATATAGGCTGTGTTTAGTTCACTCTAAAATTAAAAGTTTGGTTGGAATTGAAATGATGTGACGGAAAAGTTGGAAGTTTATGTGTGTAGAAAAGTTTTGATGCGATGAAAAAGTTGGAAGTTTGAAAAAATATTTTGGAACTAAACACGGTGATAACCTAACTAATCTAGCCCCCTCGTTTATTAAGCCAATAATTAAGACCCCACAAGACTATGATAATTCATGTGGCCAGCATTACATTTAGGCTCCATTCTTTTCTGGCTAACATACAGATTTTTAGGGTTTCTTTGGAACACATGATTGAGAAAACGTAGAATTTTGACAGGATAAAAGTATAAAACAGAAAATTACAAAATATAGGAATTAGAACAAAGATAAAAGACTCAAAATAAAATTTCCATGAGGTTTTACCTAATGTTAAATTTTCTCCAAAACTTATATGGTAAGAGGCATTCAATAGGAATTTCAATGAATTCATTTGTCTCATTCCTTTGATTCAAAGAGCTTTCTATGAAAAAAAAATTCTATAGAAATGAATTCCTCCCAAATTCATACAACTTTTCTTTGAATCGAAGGGGGCCTTATCTTGGTTTTCATTGGCATGTTTTCAAACTGTTGATCAGTGTATTTCGTATGAAAACTTTCTATATAAAAGTTGCTTTAAAATATCAGATAAATTCACTTTTCAAGTTTAAGATAAGTAAAACTTAATTAATCATATGCTAACGGTTTTCTTGTTTACTGAACATACTCAATCGTGAAGCAAACCCTAAGGTGTTTGCTAGCCTAGCTCAATCTGGCCTTATTATACACGTTTTGATATAGAGGTTGGATTCAATTTTATTATCGAAAAAGAAAAAGTTAGCCTAGCTCTCTCGCCTTCGGTTTTGGCAACCTTCTCTCGCACTCTCTCCAAGCCAGATTTCTGATGACTAATAACTCTCGCTGGTCAAATTTATTTAATATTAGAAACTCAGAATCTTATAACGCTACTCAGGTCACTGCAACCACTATACTAGATGTCTTTTTTTAAGAGAGTACTTGCTCACATGATGAATTGGTTTTGTCCTTAGCTTTTGTACAGCTTGTGCATCCACTAAAATCCATGGGGGAGATGCACACGAGATTTCTCTCGTCACCGTTTCTGCATTCAAGTGATTCAGCCCCAACCACCGTGCTCTGAATAATACTACTAGCTAGTACATGGTGAACTACTACTGTTATAGAAATTAAGGGAGAAGATTAAACCGAGTAAAGTATATATGTACCTGACGACAAAATCTTGTCATACAGCTCCTAATAAATCTGCTGAATAATGACAAAAGCTTCACGTACTTCAGTTACGACATTAATTATACAGTGAACAGTACATCGACAAATCATGAACTTGAATAGGAGTATTAGTACCTACAGCTAACAGCCTTTCTGATGGATCATCAGCTCCTAAAACTGAAAAAACCTGCATATAAGAGACATGCGGCACAGTGAATAATTAAACAACCATCGATCACATGATCCCATTTTTCTGCAATTATTAACGAAAATCACATGTCATTAAGGCTCTGTACGATTCCCTTGATCAAAACGTCCACGAATGCTACTGCCATTAGTTTTGGCATTAGTCAGAGCAGGTACAATAGCAGGCTATAAGCCAGATGTAAATATATTTTAAAGAGAAAAAAAGAGAGAGAAGAGCAGCGGGCTACAGATATGTAGCCAGCTGCAGCACAGACTCTAAGACATAATGTGTGTATGACAGATGAGACCAGGTATTAATAGTATAGTAAGCAACTATTGTATGAATTGATTATTACATTAACTATAGATAATTTGAAGATAGTAGATGGCTATCTACTGATCTTTAGAGTCTGGACTCTGCAAGTCAATAGGAACAGGGAACTTGCAGTCCTATACTCCTATACTAAAAGTGGCTAATCTATTGTTTACTACGAGTGGTAAGGTTATGCTCAGGAGTCAGGGCATTACTAATTGCAACTAGTTAAATATGTTTAATTCGTAGAATAATAGCATCAGTGGTAAGATTATGCTCAAAGCATTACTAAATAAATTAAATAAGCATCTGTGGATATGATAATCTCATTTGGTGAAGTAGTTTATTTTTATATATTTTTGTTGTTTGGTAATTTTTTTGTGTAAATCTTTGTATTCGATAATATTATTCATTCCTAAATATTAACTGGCATTGTTTCCACTTTGACTGCTAGTAATAATTTTAATTTGAATGATTAAACTTCGATGAACGAGAGCTTAATAATTATATTTAAGGCTCAACACACTTTTTAATAGTATGATAATATGGTATCCTTTTAAATATTTTAAAATTCTTATAGAAAACACAAGAAGTTAAAGTTTAAATATGAATAATATTTGTTACTAATATGAGGAAGTATTTTGGAGCAGGGGAGTATTATGTTTAGAAAATATGAAACAATTAGAGAAGATATGAGAGTTGTATATCATATTGTATATAACTGGGTTATCCTTTATAAAAGAAAGCATGTGACGTACCTATAATTCAATTAATAAAAATAAAGTATAATAATTATATATTTCTATTCTCTGCAACAACTAAAAAAATAGGAAATGAAAAGGCGTAGTTTGGTTTAGATTATTGAGCTTATTAGTACCGTGAAATATCTATTTGCATTATAGTAATAAATTAAATATTATGAAAATAATCTTATCAAATTGCTTAAAATAGGTGGTATACGGTCTATGTAGCGGTCGAAGTTTTTTTTTTTTTTTAAGTATGGAGGAAAGAAATTCATTTCAGTAATCTGATGAAAATAAACTAAAACGATTAAAGGCATTAGTATCACAACCAAAAACCGTCTAAACATACTTAATTTAGCGTTGTATGGAGGTTGCACCTAGATTTGTACTAAAAAGTACTCCCTTCGTTTTCATACATACTACTTAGTTTGAATGAAAGTGTTGCAGATGTTACTGTTTTTTTTTATAAACTCTATCAGACTTAAAAATATTTAATTAGAAAAGAAGTCAAAACAATACCATTTTTTTAAGAAGGCGAAATACCACTGCACCCGCCAAATCTCCTCGCATGGAGTGGCGCCAGCCAAGCTTAGAATTTCCCGGGAAACACACTGTCACCTCAGCTGACCTCTGATGATCAACGAAAGGTTAATTCCCTCGATTTTTTTTTCCAAAGAAAAAGAACAGTGAGAGAGAGCGAGTGAGAGAAAAGGCAGCAGCAACAAATGATTTGGTGAGCTCGAACCATCCGTAAGGTCACCCGTCTCTTTTCCCCCTCACCTTCTTCCTCCTCTCGCCTCCTATAGATCTCCTCTTCCTCCTCTTCCTCTCCACCACCGCCGCGCCGCCGCACCATCCTCCTCTCTCTCCGGCGGCAATGTCTTCCAACGGCAAGCCCAACCCTCCCCCTGCTGCTTCTGCGGCGGCGGCGGCTGGCAACGGCGCCGGTGGCCCGCCCAAGATGTACCAGCGACCCATCTACCGCCCCCAGGCGCCCGCCGCCAAGCGCCGCCGCGGCGGGAGGTCGTCCTGCCGCTTCAGCTGCTGCTGCTGCTTCTTCTACGCGGTACTCGTCGTGCTCCTCCTCGCCTTCGTCGCCGCCGTCGCCGGCGGCGCGTTCTACCTCCTCTACCGGCCGCACCGCCCGGCGTTCACCCTCTCCGTCGCCCGCGTCGACAAGCTCAGCCTCTCCTCCTCCGCCACCGCGCCCACGCTCACCGACTCCATCGACGTCACGCTCACCGCCAAGAACCCCAACAAGAAGCTCGTCTACCTCTACGACGACTTCGCCGTCACCGCCGCCACCGCCGCCAACGCCGTCCCGCTCGGGGAGGGATCCGTCCCTGGCTTCGTCCACGACGCCGGCAACATCACCGTCATCAAGGCCACCGTCTCCGCCTCCGCCCTCGGCGTCGACCCCACCACCGCCGCCACCGACATCAAGAAGTCCGGCGAGTTCACCATCACCCTCGACCTCGAGACCAAGGCCGGCGTCAAGGTCGGCGGCCTCAAGACCAAGAAAATCGGCGTGCTCGTCCACTGCGAGGGCATCAAGGTGGCCGCCCCGGCGCCGCCGCCGCCGCCGGCGAAGAAGAAGAAGGGCGGCGTCAAGCTCTCCGTCTCCGACGCGCCGTCTCCCGCCGCGTCCGTCGACGACACCACCCCCTCGCCGCCGCCGGCGACCACCGTCGCGCGCGTGTGCCAGGTCAGGATCCGAGTCAAGATCTGGAAGTGGACCTTCTAGTGACGTCGCCCAAATCCTAGGGGCCGCATTGCAAAATTTTCGGGGGGCAAAAAGAAAAGTTGCTTTACTTCTTTTTTTTTTTCTTCTTCTTCACGTTGGAGTGTAGTAGAAATTCAGACCAAAATCAACCGTCGGATGCTGTAAAAAAATGGTTTCTGTTTGAATTTGACGAAATTTGGCTGGGGGGAGGGAAGAAGCGACCACGCCGACAAGTGATGCGAGGGAGGAGTCTTCTTTGGAGTGTGAGGCTTGATTTTTTTACTTTTTGTAATATCTTGGTGTTAGTGCAAGTACAATTTGGGGATTTGTTATTTTTAGTAAATTTGTACTCCAAATTTATCTGAATGTGGCATCGCACGAGTAACATAATATTCCCAGATACTCTTTCTTTGAATTACTTTTTTACTTTTTAAAAAATGTGTAAATGAGATGAGAGAGAGGGGTGTCGGTGAGGCTCCATGCTAGTAGCTGAGTTTGACTGAATTTTGTACGCAAGGGAAAGGTGTGAGATATTAAATTCATGTGTAGCCTTTTCATGTGAAGCAAGCACAAATGTAGAGCACAAATGCGGAGGTGCCGGCTGCAGCTGTGCAATGAATTGCGTGACATTTTTAATTCCGGGCGTTACGTGACTTGTGAAGAATTAGTGGGTCACTAGTCATAACAGTGGCAGTAGTGTAGTAGCAACCGTTAGGCTTAATTGTGTAGTACTAGAAAATTAAGAGTTTGATGTAAACTAATCAGTACTGGTACTTAAATAGAGTAGGTGTTGAGCTGAGCAAGCATACAGTCAGATATATGAGTATGCAACAACATTAATTAAGCTTTAATATATGACAAATATTTCACTAGCTTTATCATGAAAATTGCTTTCATGTTTAACATTTTCTTGGTACTACTCATATATAAGTGGTACTGTGGTAGAGAAACAATGATCAAAACATAGAATTGCTCATATGTAGTTTTAATATATGAAAATGAATCGGAGCATAGTTTGTGGTAATGAGTGAGGAGACGATTGTTTACCGGGATTGGTGAGGCCTTAACATAAAGGTCAACACAATCATTAAAGCGGGTTGCATCTTTTCCCAACACGTCAAAGTGACAAAAGAAGCCATGTTGTAGCAAGCACAGTACCGAAGTACTTCATCCGGTTTATTTTAAACGCAATCTACAACTTTGATCATTCATCTTATTTAAAATTTTTTATAATTAGTATTTTTATTATTACTAAATAATAAAACATAAATAATATTTTATACCTGATTTATGTTTGTTTTTAAAAATAAAACAGACGATTAAAGTTGGACATAGAAATTTATGACTGCGTTTAAAATGGGACGGAGGGAGTACTTTGCTGTTTACTCTAACACAATCGACAAGAAGCCACTAATTAATTGTGTCAGTCGTGTGAGATGAGAAATGAAGTAGATGAGATGCCAAACCGTAGACCAACCGCAACGAGGGATCCTCGGCCGTGTGTCTGATTCTCTCAAGGACGAAACGCTAGCTTCTTGACAGCCTACTTGTAATTTGACAGCAGACACTCCACCTGTCTTTGCTAACACTGATCGTGCATACTAGTCGAGTGATAAGCAATTCACCTCTCAGAGATACTGTAGTAATTATGGTTGTAAACGTGAGATACCTGTACTTGTCTGCTGTATCGGTGCAAGCCATTTCCGACCTTATCGAAGTTTCATGCTAAGTTGTAACTACCGTGTCATGCAATGAAGAAACTCATTATCTGAAAACAAAAAATCATGAAGTGAAGAAAATCGTAACTGCGTGTTTCGTCCTGACCATATGGGCTTATTCATGGTTTGTAGACAGGCCCAAATGGTATTGGGGGTAAGAGGCCTTGTGTAGGCGAAGGTTTGTGATTGGTGTTGATCAGGCCAGCGGCCCAGCTACTCTCGGTACCGTAGAGACAAGGAATGAAAGAAGGAAACAACCTGTTTTTTGGTTTTTTGTATGCCGTATACGTGACGTGGAGCGCATATATCGGTGTACCAGAAGAAACTACGAGCATTGTTCAGATTGTTGCCACATTTAACACTATCAAGCTGTGTTTAGTTCCACATCAAAATTAGAAGTTTAACTAAAATTAGAAGTTCAAAGAAAAAAGTTGAAAGTTTATGTATGCAGGTAAGTTTTGATATGATGGAAAAGTTAAAAGTTTAAAAAAAAATAGAAAACTAAACTCGGCGCAAACTTTCGTCAATGTTATAATTGGATAGGGTATCAAATCAAACATACTTTAGCCAATATTTTCTTACCAACATTTAGTAATTTCAGAAACTTCTACTATTAAAAAACTATCGAAACTTAGGCCTCGTTTAGCTTGCGAAAAGAAAATTTTTGGGTGTCACATCGGACGTTTGACCGGTATCGAAAGAGGTTTTAGGACACAAATAAAGAAACTAATTTTATAACTCGCCTAGAAACCGCGAGACGAATTTATTAAGCCCGATTAATCTGTTATTAGCAAATCAAATGTAGGTTACTGTAGCACTTTGTAGCTAATTATGGACTAATTAGGCTCAAAAAGTTCATCTCGCGATTTCCATACAAACTGTGTAATTAGTTTTTTTTTTAAAATCTATATTTAATGCTCTATGCTTGTGTCAAAGATTCGACGTGACGTTTTTAGAAAAAAAAATATGAACGAAACAAGGTATTAGCAAGGCATCAAACCAAATGCTTCCAACCTTATCAAAATGTGACACTAAAATTAGACGACAATCAGAACAAGCCCTACAGCTCCGGTCACGGTGTGCCTCGGGACAGGAACGACGTAGTAGTACGATCTACTGTATACTCCAATATATCGGCAGAAACAAACAACGCCGAAACCCCTGCTTTTTTTACTGCCCCCAACGTCACGCACTTTTCTCTCGCAACAGCGGCGCGCGCCTTGTGCTACACGACGCGCCTCGCTTCCGCCACAAGCAAACCACACCCCCACCCACCCAACCCAAGCGCCCAAGCCACACACACTGACACGAACCGGACCACGACCACGACCCGAGCCCGAGCGTGAGACCTGGTCAGTCAACGAGTCAACCGCCTTTTCTCTTTCCCCTTTCCCTTCTCATCTCCTCCTAGCGGCCAAAAAACCCGCGCCTTCCCGAAGCGCGCTACCACCACTACGCGGCGAGGGGGGGCCCCCGGTCCCACGCGGCGCCACGTGGCGTCACGCCTGACGCCTCGGCACGGACGGATGCGCGGCACGACGCGCCGCGCCGCGCCGTCGCCATACTCTCCGCATCCGACGGTGGTGGGTGGTTACATATACGTGCCCTCCCCCCGCCTACGTGTCCGGCTCAAACCAACCACCAGTCCACTACTCCACTCTCTTCTCCACTTGGCGGCGCCGCGGCGGTGGCGGCTCGATCGATGGAGGCGGAGGAGGCCGCCGGCGGCGGCGAGCGGAAGCGGAAGAGGGACGGGGATGCGGTGCGGGATGACGAGGAGGAGGAGGAGGAGGGGGTGTATGAGGGCATTGCGGAGGAGTCGGTGGCGGAGCTGATGCGGTGGCTGGAGATGGAGATCTCGGATGCGGCGCCGGAGACGGAGACGAAGACGGAGACGGAGTCCGGCGACGATCCTGCCGGCGCCGCCGCTCCGGGGTTCGTCACCATCAACGGCAACGAGGAGAGCTGCGGGCCGTCCTTCTCCGCCGCGGCGTCGACGGTCATGGCCTCCGTCGACACCCGCGCCGGCGCGCCGCCCGCACCGCCCGTCCCCTGGCCCCTCCCTCCGGCGGCGGACGTGGTACCGGCCGAGGTCGTCGTCGACGGCGTGGGGGAGGAGTGGCTGGTCGAGCTACTGACAAGTGGGCCCGCGGTGGCCTAGGGAGTCGTGGCGTACGTACGCGTGTTTTTCCTTTTGCCGTTTTGGGGTTGTACAGTGTCAGGTGTCAGAGAAATGGTAATCGTCAAGAATGGAAAATGGGGATAGAGTAAAGTCCATCATCGGTCTCTAAACTTGTACCGCTGTGTTATCCCGGTCCATCAACCGTTCAGGTCTTACTTGTAGATCACTCATTTAGATCTTCCAACTTGTTCAGTTGTGTCACCCCAGTCCCTAAACAGGATGGTCTAAAAATTTTATATCAAAAAATAATTCATAAATTTTTCATGTGAACTCTAATGAAGACAAATTTTATATCAAAATTGTAGCCCTCGACGCGACATACAACTTTGTAGTTTGAAAAGTTTTTGAATTAAAACTGCTTAGGGTCCCAAAATATTGTTGCATGTTTATAGATTTTGAAATTTTAATATTAAAATTACATTTTGGGACAAAAAATGACTTAAAATAAAAAAAAATTCAACTACAAAGTTGTAGATCGCATCGAGGGCTACAAGTTTGATATAAAGTTTGTCTTCATTAGAGTTCACATGAAAAAGCTATGAATTATTTTTAGATATAAAGTTTTTAGACCGTCCTATTTGACCCAGATGATATTCAAATCCAAGTTTAGAGACCGGGGTGACATAACTGAACAAGTTGAAAGACCTAAACGAGTGATCTGCAAGTTTAGGGACCGGGATGACACAGTCGAACAAGTTTGAGGAACTGAACAGTCGATTTACGAGTTTAGGGACCGGAATGATACAACGGTATAAGTTTAGAGACCGGTGATGGACTTTACTCTTAATTCTTCATCTTTTTTTTCTTTTGTAATTTTGTTTGTTTTCTTCTTGGATGATAAATGAGAAATGTCCAGGGGTCTTCCGGCTAGCTCCACAAGGTGGTGGGCTAGATGACCTGGGTTCAAAGCCTCACCCCTCCTAATTATTTGATATTAGGTCCTTCTCTAATATTCTAGTTTTTTTTTTCTTGGATGATAAATGGTGGCTTGCTCGTGTCGGTGTCAGGTTCCCTTGGTTGGCTTTGGTTTAGAGGGAGGGACTGTGAACAGAAAGAAACGTCGTCTCGTCGGGATAGAGCCTAAGGGTGTGTTTAGTTCACGCGAAAATTAGAAGTTTGATTGAAATTGGAACGATGTGATGGAAAAGTTAAAAGTTTAGTTATGTTTAGTTCTTTCCAAAGTTGGAAGTTTGGGTTAAAATTGGTACGATGTGACTGAAAAGTTGTGTGTGTATGACACGTTGATGTGATAAAAAAAGTTGAAAATTTGGATCTAAACACAGCCTTTATGTGTGTAGGAATTTTGATGTGATAGAAAAGTTAGAAGTTTAAAGAAAAAGTTTGGATTTAAACAATGGCCAAGGAGAAATGCTACTAGCTGTATACCTGTATGTACGTAGCAGAGCTTCCAGATTCGGTTGCTCCCGCCGCACTTGATTAGTGTTAGTATTTCCCTTGTATACAAGGGAGCAAAGCACGCAAGCAAGAGCTAATCCAGCACCGGCCATCAACACGTACACGGTACATTCGCCGTGTGCATTGTCAAATGGTATACTCCCCTCTTAAAAAAAAATTAGAACTAAATATGATATATCATAATAAAACAAATCTAAATAGGGATATGCCACATTTTGGGGGACAAAGAGAATAGACACAGTAGCAAATTGTTAGGGATGCAAGTGGATAATCCCGCTACCTGTATAAAAACCCGCTTGCTAGTTCATTTCCCACATGATAGTATAAAATTTAGAAGAAAAAATAAACTAGAAGTGAAATAAGCGGGCTAAAAAAACCCGCTTGCACACCCCGCTTGCATCCCTACAAATTGTATGTGAGTGGGTTTTTTTTCCCAATGTGGACCTTCAAGCTTCCGGGGCCTGCACATTCATACGTCTGTGATGTCACATACTCTTTTCATCTAAAAAAATCCAATCATAAGAATAAATCTCGACGAGCACTATGTCCACTGTGTTCGAATTTTTCCTTAGAAATTTTTTTACAAAGGGATTAAAAGCAATAAAGGATCATTTTGGACCTTTACCTTATCAAATTATTGGCCATGGACATCACATTGAGTTGACCTGTGAAAATTTAGCTTCAAACCAAACTCTATTAATGTAGAAGTAATATTGAAGTTATCGATGGATTGGTAGGGCACATTTTGTAAAAACTCAGAGTGACCTACGTTATTTTTACTTATATTTCTTTCGTCCCAAAATATATTAATCTAGTATCAATATTAGCTTGAACATAACGTAGTACTGTAAATCTAAACATGCGCTATATCCAAATTTAAGATTATCTGTAATGTATAGTCCAAGGTTCATGTGAGAATGCACTCGGTTGAAAACTGCTCACAAATGTTTAAACTAGCTATGATGAGGCCCTTCTTAGTAAAATAACCACAACTCTTCTCTCTACCCGAATATCTCATGATGTTAGGCCATGGTATATCCTCTCTCGTATAAAGACATGTCCTTTGCCTTATACTTCATCCAAAAGTGATGCTACATAGTGTTATATGGGGCATATCCGCGATACCCTTGTCCAAATTCATAGTACAAGATAATAATATTTTGGGATGGAGAAAAGATGTGCAGTGTGTAACACCGGTCTTAGCTACTCTATCTCGGTCTCTCCTCTTAAGGCCTTTTTGAATCAAAGGATTTATGTAGAAATTTCATAGGATTCAAATCCTATAGAAACTTTTGTATGCGGCTATTTGATTAAACAGATTTATGCTTTTCAAATCCTATGAAATGACTCATTGCATATAGATTTTAGAGGAACTTAGTAAGAGCTCCAACCTTTTGGAAAATTTGCTTTTATGCTATCTCTCTTATCCGATTCATACGGTTTTCCCGCAGTTCAATAATACAATCATTCATGTGTTTTGTATTAATCTGCTTTACATTTGAACTTGTCAGAATCTTGATTTTTTTTTCTATTTATCCGTTTTTCCAATCATGCAATTCAAAGTGGACCTATATATCTAAGGGCCTATTTAGTTCGCGAAAAGAAAATTTTTAGGTGTCACATTGGATGTTTGATCGAATGTCGAAAAGGGTTTTTGGACACGAATGAAAAAAACTAATTTCATAACTCGCCTGGAAACCGCGAGACGAATCTTTGGAGCCTAATTAATCCGTCATTAGCACATGTGGGTTATTGTAGCACTTATGGCTAATCATGGACTAATTAGGCTCAAAAGATTCGTTTCGCAATTTCCCTCCTAACTGTGTAATTAGTAGTTTTTAAAATCTATATTTAATGCTCTATGCATGTGTTCAAAGATTTGATGTGATGTTATTGGGAAAAAAAATTAGGGAACTATCAGAAATTTAATACGATATAAGTATATATTGCGTGTGCTCTCCTATTGGCTGCATACATCATATTATGGAGGGAGTAATAATTTATTTTTGAAGGGTTAACCTACGAGTACTACAGTAATGTATGAACAAGAACTGTACTTTCCCGGATCTGCAGCTCTGCGAGCGCCATAACTTTTACTACTACACAGTCCCACTACAGTACTCGGTACTGAACTTTAGCTTCAATTCAGAGAAAAAGGTCGTCCATCCAGACTTGCAGCAGGCAGGCATCGATGGTGATCGATCGATCCATTGATGGCCGATCGGTAGAGTAGAGGCAGCAGTATCAGTATGGCTACATCTGCATAGCGATAGTAACAGATCTCTGCCCTTTTTATAATCGTAATGCAAACGTTGGCAGGCTACACAATACACAATGCAGTGCTCGCAGGCAAAGTATGGCCAAGCAAACACATGCATTCGACTCCTCTGCTAACATCTGCTACTGCACTGTTTTTTTTTTCCAAATTCTATAATGGTATATCCTCCGTCCCAAAATAAGTTTATTTTTTTTTGGACAAAGGCCAAAGCCCAGCTTTTATAGCAAAGCATAACAGAGTCTTACAACCGCTGGGACTGCCAGCTCGAGATGCACAGGAGTTTAAGTAGGACAGAAATGCTGCTGGCACAGCCATAACAAGTCAGGGATAGAACAAAAAGGCGCTGGGAGTCTAAAAGAGAAGAACACTACTGAGGGGGGGTCACCATTACGGTGACATTAGGCGCTTGAGTCTCCTGCCGCTCGGATATTGGCAAGCAGTAATCCGTGTGCCTTCTCCAGCTCGCCCCTTAGTTGAGATGATGCCAAAGCTTTCCACTGTAACATGAAGGACATGGCTTTGTGAGGCAGAGAAACAACATTTCGCAAAAGAATATTGTTAAAAACCCAATCATTCCTCACGCGCCAAATAGCCCAAGCTCCTGCAACAAAACAACACCACAACACTCTCATATCTGATCGCCTCATATTCTGAAAAAGGTTTAGAAGATCGTTTCTAGAAGTAGGGATCGAATTCCACCCAAAAGCATCTCTGTAGCAGCACCAAAGAAAACGTGCCGGAGGGCATATAAACATTAGGTGATCTGTATCCTATTCCAAGCCACACAGCTTGCAAAGAGGGCTACCTGACCAATTCATTTTTTTGAGCTTCTTAGCTACTTGAATTCTTCCTTGTAACATCAACCACATGAACACTCTCGTTTTTAGGGGGGTAGGGGCTTTCCAGAGTTCCTGAAGCAGAATGTCTTTGACTCCCCCAAAAACAATTTCCTTGTAAAGAGATTTTGTTGTAAAATTTCCTTGTAAAGAGATTTTGTTGTAAATCTCCCGGATGGATTCAATTTCCAAATCATAATATCTCTCTTTGTCGTCAGTTGGACTGTACCAAGTAAGTCCTACAACCTTAGCCAATCAGGTAATTCGTCTTGACCTAAAGATCTCCTGAGATTAATTTCCCACTCCCCTCCAGACAACATTTGTTTCACGGTTTTGTCAGGGTCACTGCAAACACTGTGAATGTAAGGACATTGGATTTTCAAAGGAGACTCCCCTAACCAGATGTCGTCCCAAAACTGTACAGAATCCCCACAGCCAATTTTGTATGCACTACCAAACTTCATCCACCTTTTTACTTCATGAAGTCCTTTCCAAAATTGTGATCCCCCATCAGTAGAAGACTGAAAGAAACCTCCCCCAGCTGAGAAGTATTTTTTCCTTAGCAATTCACAGCAGGGGCTGGTGTTACCAGATTCTAATTTATAGATCCATTTGCAGAGAAGAGTTTCATTCATTACTCTGGTGTTATTCAACATTTGATCATCCGTTTTTTTTAATATTTTTGTTATTAGTATTTTTGTTGTTATTAGATGATAAAACATGAATAATACTTTACGCGT